TGCTGTACATCACTGCAGCTCTATATTCTCCTTTGTAACAAAAGGATGAAGTCCTGTTTGTTATTGCACAGCACTTTGAGAACTGTGGTTGAGAAGTGCTATTACAGAATTGTTAATAAAAATGATCTTTTTTCTTTTCCAGAGAGATCAGTGCTTGCCCAGCCAACATTTGTTTTTGAAAAGAAGGACTGTCCTTTGAAGGTAAAAAGTTTTGGGTTTTTTTTCTTCCCCCTTATTTGCTAAAATATGCTGAGAAATGAGGATTCTATAGACAATGATCCTAGCAGTAATAAAAGATTTTAGCCCAGGTTAAGACTTGTAATAAATGGTCTCAAAATAGAACAAGGAAAAGTAGAAACTGGAAGCAAGATGGCTTTTAATGCATATATGCTGGATTGATATACTTTGTGTCCTGGTCTAGAAAATGGCTGTTCTATTCTCCTTGACCTTTCCATGCTTATATTTTTTTTCCAGCGGCCTGCAGAAGACCCAGTTTGCAAAGCTGAAAATGGTAATAACCATCTCATTGAAAAAGTATAATAATACGCTGGGTTATTCATAGGTCTCACTGTTTCCTGTGAAAATAGTGTTTGGACCCTTACTTTGTATGAGCAGGGACAAATCCCTGTTAGCAGACTAATACTATGTGGGTTGTAGAGCCACCTACTATGTTCTAATATATATGTCCCTGTATTACCTCAAGAATTCCTCCATCTTACCTCTCATATTTACTGGAAAGCCAAACTCCAGAAGCCCTGAAAAGTGGCCAAGTATATTCATCAGCTGTATGAGCTCCTAGCAACCCTTTTCTATTTGTTTAGACTACATTATAATGTAACTTCTCATTCTTAATGTCTTTTGAGCCTGTGGGCTCTGAACTGGTTCTAACTGCTTGATTTAGGTTCCCTGAACTTAGTAGAAATAAAGAAGACTCCCAGGGCTTTGTGACTGAGATTCCAAAGCCCTTGTGCTCTTAGGTACTGCCTTAAAGCTGTTCCTGTAAGTCATTCCTAGAATTTATTGTGTTCAGGTTTTAATTCCGTATCATAGCATTGTACTGAAATCTCCTGCCAGTCTGTCTCTGCAGAACATACTTACTTTTCTCTAGATTGCGTCAGTTGTTCCAGAAAGCGTGCAAGATCATCATCCTTTACTTTCCAGAAGTCTGACTCTCAATCTAACACAGGTATGCCATTTAGCTCCAGTCATGTTTTAGTTACTATAGTTCTGTATTCTCATCTGGTAAAGAAGAGAAAGAATTTTCCTGTCTAAGAAAAGTTTCTGCGCTATAGAAATGCCGCAAGTCATGAAAACTTAAACATTGATACAAACTTGCTGGTAATTTCCAATAAATCCCTTTTTAAGTAAAAATATATTAATTTTCCATACTTACATAATATTACATAAAGCAGTGAAAAATCTGTATATTTCATATAATTTCCTTGAATTGCTCACACAGTCAAGGGAGGAGGAGGGCTGGAAAGGAATGTGTTTCTCTGGTTTGTGGAGGAGATCAGTGTTCCCTGGGCAATCCCTGAAAATGTAAAGCAGTTTCCAGAAGGGCCCCTCCTACCATCCCGCCAACAGCTGACCTGGAAGGCCCTTTAAAGACTGTGTATTGCTTCCATGGGAAATGCATGCAAGTCACTGAGGCTACTGTGCAGAAGGACTGATCTGGTTTTTTACAGTGTTTATTTAACATATGGATGGGACCAGAAAGTTACTTCTGAATTCAGGCATTAGTATGTGTACACTATGTTTTTTTTAATCTAGTCCTGTGACACACCTGAATGTAGCTAAGAGGATTTAAGATAAGCTAAGTTTGGTATACTCTGAAAATTATACTGAGATCATACACAGAAAATCATAGATACGGTAGAAATTTTAGGGTATGCCTATATCTCACTCCCTGGTTCTGTTTTGAACCTCTCCAACTGGTGGTCTCCAAGGCAGAACTGTTACAAAGTGGACCAGCCATAAGCAGTGTGCCTGAGCCAGGTGTGCCACTTGGCCTCAGAGACCTCTGCGATTCAGCAGTATAGGCATAACCTAACAGTCTACTTCAGAAAGCCGGTAGTTAGCAGATAATAATTTATTCTACTGCCAATGAAGGCATGACATCAAATTGGCTAACCTTAAAATTAATCTTTTTTTTTCTCCAAACAAATGATAATTTCAGTCTCTTACTCTTTCAGATACAGCTCTCGCTCAGAAAAGAGGGAGATTGTCTTCCTTTACCATCCTTCCTACCTTCCCTCCCTCCCAGCCAGGTAAGTTAAAAAAAAAAAAAAAAAAAAAAGAGAAAAAAAAAAAAAAAAAAAAAAAAAAAAAA